TATATATGTGTTAATAAACAAAAAATTGTAATTCAATATTCAGGATAAAATATTATAAAACAATTTTCTAATTAATGTTTATTATTTTGTACTATTAAATAAATTTGGCTATTGTACATAATCGTACAAAAATTATCTGTTTTATCATAAAGTAAAGTTACATCACATGTCGCTGGTGGCGCTGGTAATCATATACATATGTATGTATGTATGAATTGTATATGTATGCCTGAACGCTTGTTCATGTTTACTTGCATATGTAGATTGTATCATCAATACATACATACCATCTTTATGCACAGAGGACAGAATAAACTCTGCGCTCTGTGGCGTACGTGATTAGAAACAACGAAAATCGAAAGCTCTGTTGGAATCTTTGTTGTCTGTATCAGAAAGTATTTGCCTAGAAACAAAATTTCACATACAGTGTTGTCAAGGAATTGATGGCGCTCTTTGTCACGTTCTCTAAAGGCCACGACGTACGCTGATAACTTCAGAGAGTACATATGTATTTCAGAGTCCTCTTACCCAAGACTCCAGTAGGAATGGGGGAAAAAAAAAATTGTATTTAGTATTTACTGTTTACATGATCGTGATATAATCTTACTATTACGTGGACTTCCTGTAATATTGAAATCAATGTGAAGGACGTAATTGTTTATATAGTGTAACAAAATTATATTTGTAAATTCTAAATAATGAATGTCCTCGAACCAGAGTTAGTTTGGGTAGACGGTCGATGTTATAGACGCTTTGGAAAAAGGGAATCAAGTGATCACAATATTTCTCCATACGTTGAGGATGATGATGATCTTGACATTGAAGATGTGGAAGAATATGATGACCCCGATATTGAAATTGTTTCATATGGGTCATCGAGATTTAAACATACTTTTCATGTAGCAAAGTAAACAGTAATCTTACACATTATATTTCATAACAAAAATTGCTACGCTAATATTAATGTTACTACGATATTTTAGAGCATTTTTCCCATTTATTATTGGAAGCAAACACTTAATGCGTAAAAAATTAGAAGCTGACACTAAAACAAGCATACAAATCCCAAAAGTAGGTCAGGATGGTGATATTGGTAAATATGTTTATAACATTTCTTAACTATTAAATTATAATTTTTAAATAAGCTAAGCTTTTAAAATAACTAAATAGGCCATACTGTTCTCTAGAAAATGCGAAAAGTATAATGTGTATTTTGTAATTATTGATTTATAGTGATAATTGGATTCCATCCTAAAGGAATAATAACTGCACGTCGTAGAATAGATATGTTAATAACTGCAGCAAGGAGAAATCTAGACTATACACATTTTTTATCTATACCACTGAACGAAGGTTCTATAATAATGAAATATATGGCATTTAAGAATGATGTTCTTAAAAGCTCAGAGAAAACATCTAGGGGTGTAGATGAAACAATCTTCCAGATACCAAGTAAATTGCATATTACTATTGGGATGTTAAAATTATTTGATGATGCAGAAAGAGAGAGAGCTACCCAAGCTTTAGACTATTGTAAAGAGCATATTATAAAGTATGTAAAGTTATGTTAGGAACACTTTCAGTTACTGTATAGTTTAAAATAATAATTTTGTAATATTAACTTCTACAAATGCAAATATAGGCCTGCGATGGAAAAGTATGGTCAAATTCATATATGCTTAGAAGGACTTTCAATAATGAATGATGATCCGACCGAGACAAAGGTTCTGTATGCAAGAGTAATTGACGAGAATAATTCTTTGCAAGAAATAGCAAATGAAATTGCCAATTATTATGCCAGCATAGGTAAAATGAGATATATATGAATTTTTTAAAAATAATATATTGTATATAATAGGATATGTATTGTTTAGATTTAATAGACAGAAAACGGGAAAATGTTTTGTTGCATATAACACTTATGAATACGAGATATAAAAATAAAACAGAAAGAGGACCATATGAAACATTTGATGCAACAGACATATTGAAAGTAAATATATATTACTTATTTATAATCATGAGACATAAGGATCTTAAGTTTTAATATCTGGTAATTTTTAGGCCCATGAACATACTAAATTTGCAGACACTACATTAAAACAGATTCATATATCACAGCTCCACACAGACTGCAATGGATATTATGCAGCAACAGCAAAAATTAATCTAACTGAGGGCTTTTGAATAATATCTGTCATATTATTAACATTACAAAACAATTACATTAAAGACTATTCAATTAAAAAGTACAAGAATAGATAAAACAGCCAAATCTTCTGCAACGTTCTCTTCATTGTACATATTTTTGTACATATCGGAAATAAAAAAATTATAGGCACAACAGTCACTTTTTATACTTAATACCTAATGTAACTGTTTAGTTCATCATAATTTTAACAATAAAAAAATAGTACATCAAGTACGTTTAACTTGCTTAGATCACACGAAATAAAAATATTTTTATGGTTGCTGGTGTTCCCGCCAAATCATAGCAGGCTACCTAATACAGCACTCAGAAATTTGAGAGTAAGTAGAGAAACTGCTTTTCTCTGACTGGTTTACGCTCTATAGCTAAGTATTACTGTCCTTTACAGTTTTAGACAAAGAGAGGAAGTGGCGAGTGAGCCAAGAGAGCATGACATCAGCACAAGCGAAACAAGTCACACCAACGACCAACATAGCTTGTCTTACTTTACCATGCTTGCGATCTCACTCTATTTGCTCCATCTGAAACACTCGGCGCGATATTCGACTTGTACGTTTCACGTCGTACGATTCTCGACCACACAGTCCAACGTATTTGCGAACACGTCTTGAAACGGCGATCATTTCTACAATTATTAAAATTTTCGAAAACCCGTAAGCCACATTTTAGATAATAGTTACTAATTCATCAGAAAATTTCTGAGCAAATGCAGCGGTCAATCACAGTCCTCTTATCAAAAGGCATCCCTGCCTTCTCCACTTCGTGGTCAAATCCTTCAAGAAGACTATCCTAGTTCTGGGGTTTCTCCATCGACAGAACCCATGCGAACCCATGAACTTACCAAAGCAGAATAGCGTCAGGCTACTTAAGTGAAAATCTTTGGCTATTTTGCTCGGTCATTCTACGCTTTTCTTTGTTCCCGTGATCGAAAGATTTGTCACGGTACCTTTCTACCTGCCCGTTTACCTGAGGTGCCTCGGTCGCAATTTCGCATCGGTACTTCTCAAGAAATGATTTTTGTGACTTGCAGATAAAATTCGTCCGTTTATCCGAAATTATNAATCGTCCAATCCCGTTTGTGAAGTCTCCTCTCCGCCACTTGAAGCAGATTCCGAGCAGAATCCCTGACACCATTGGACACACTAGGCACCAAGATTTCAAGAACGGTCAGGCGCCGAGAGCTTTGATCGAGAGAGACAGAACGAATCCAGCGGGTTCTATGGGTGAGTGTCCCCACGGACGAGAAACCTAACCTGTCTCACTTCGACGTGCTTGCGATCTCACACTGCTCGCGCGCATCCGTCCGTCTGGCGCATCATGTGAAACACTCGGCGCGATATTCGACATTTGACCGTTGCCCCGTAGGATTCTCGACCATATCGTTCAGTGTATTTGCGAACGGCTTGAAACGGCGATCATTTCTACAATTATTAAAATTTTCGAAAACCCGTAAGCCACATTTTAGATAATAGTTACTAATTCATCAGAAAATTTCTGAGCAAATGCAGCGGTCAATCACAGTCCTCTTATCAAAAGGCATCCCTGCCTTCTCCACTTCGTGGTCAAATCCTTCAAGAAGACTATCCTAGTTCTGGGGTTTCTCCATCGACAGAACCCATGCGAACCCATGAACTTACCAAAGCAGAATAGCGTCAGGCTACTTAAGTGAAAATCTTTGGCTATTTTGCTCGGTCATTCTACGCTTTTCTTTGTTCCCGTGATCGAAAGATTTGTCACGGTACCTTTCTACCTGCCCGTTTACCTGAGGTGCCTCGGTCGCAATTTCGCATCGGTACTTCTCAAGAAATGATTTTTGTGACTTGCAGATAAAATTCGTCCGTTTATCCGAAATTATAACACGCAGTATTCCTAATACTTTCTTTAAATACGTACAACATTTCGGCACCGCTCAATGATTTTAACGGAATTCTAAATATTTTATGAATGCGTCAATAATTAATCAAATATGTTTGTAGTCTTTTTTACTTGTTTCAAAAGGGCCGACACAATCGCAGTGAATTGTCTAACTATCCTTTGGCACAAGATCCTTTGTATCGGTGGCTTCAATCGTATTGCAATCTGTTACAATTTTAAAATTTATACCGTTTATTATTTATACCATTATTTATATAAATTATCGCCCTTGCTTCGCGTTCGTAGGTATAGGCGCGTTCAACAATGTGCTAACTTCACCTGTCCCCTGCTTTCAGCCGAAATTTCCCGACCCAGGTACTCCCAGGCAATCCCAGGTGATTTCAAAGGAAATGTATATTTTTAGATTTAGAGGAAACCCTGCTTTCCCAAGAACCGTTAACGCCCGGTCTAAACGCTTGAATCTCTCCGCTATTGTCGAAATTTGAGATTCTTTTTAACCTGGCACATGCTAAATCTTTTCGGCCTCGGATCCATCAGGCCGAATATCGCGCCGCGTGTTTCAGATGGAGCACCAAGCAAACGGATGCGCGAATAGAGTGAAATCGCAAACATGATAAAGTGATGTGCTCTCTTGCTCACTCGCCAGTTCCTATCTGCACACTTTTTTTTTTACCTTAGGTCCATGGTTTTATCCTTAATTCTAACATACAATTTAGATAAACACAATCTTTAAGCGCGACTTGTTTAATTAATAAATCGTTAGTTTAACAAATCATTCGTTCACAAACAGCCATATTGATTGCGTTCTTCCTATCCTGATCAGCACATCGACATATCAACAGTACGAAGTACATATCCTATCAAGCGTTATGACGAGGGAAAGCGAAATATGTATTAAGAAAAGAGGAGATTGTGTCTTTGTGGAAAAAGAACACACTTATACAGGATATCCTAAGAAAATGAAATATTCACGAACAATGATATGGAGATGTATACAACTCCTAGGTAAGCAAAGAATTAAAACACGGGCACTTAACGATTGCTTGTATTTTACGGAAAAACATTAACAGTGCTATCCACTGTCTAGTTTATGGTTATAACAATAAAATAACAGTTTTTTTTTGTTCAGAACCTAACCCAGACCTAACCCGTACCTAATTCTACAAAATAGCAGAAGCGTTATATCTTGGTTACGGCTGGGTTAGTTCAGCCTCTCATATATCAAAATCCTATTACAATGAATTCGTTGAAAAGAGAGCATCTTGAAAAAGCACAGAAAAAAAAGTTGTTCAAAATGATGACTTTGACAACATGTCTCAAGTGGCTCATATTTATATATCTCAATTTGTTTTTAGTCATATGTACAATAATGATTTCTCAATTTTTCACAAGATGTACTCATTCAAAAATGATACATGTAGCACAAGGTGTAATTTGCAATTATTTGTAATTGTAATTATTTAATATAATTCATAATTGTAATTATTTAAATGATTTTCCACACACCATTCTTGCGCATCGCGTAATTGAAACGCGCTTAGGAAAGAGAGTCTGTTTCTTCTTGACACTGTGTGATATTGCATCGAACATGTTTCTAAGATTAAATTATCAGTGTGAGTGCACAGATAATCACACTTCAGTTACAGTCTTTTATCATTGCAAAACCTCTAACCTCTTTTGTCGTAATATAACTTTGTTTGTAACGAACATCCTATTATGTGTTCAACATAACTCTTCTATTGTATTGACATTTTACAGAAAACTAAATTGTTGCTATTACATTAATTAACTTCTACTTTTAAAACATAATAACTGTTAACTACGAAATTTGTTTAACACTTTGAATGTCATAAAGTCAACATAAAACAAATGATGGTCATATCTCTATTTACGTATCTTGTCGCACAGTATGTACACATCGACCACTTTGCATTTAATTTATTATCCAGATTTAAAAATTATCGTTAGAGTAGTTAATGATATTATTCTTTGAGCGATTATTAGCAATTTTCTTATTCAGTGTACCGATAATTTTTATTTTATTTTTATAGTAACAATTTATAATTTTTTGATTATTTTTATTGTAAAAGTAATTTTATTTGGAATAATGTTTACAATGAAGAGCAAATAAAATAAGTTATAACATTAATGTACTAACTGTATTTCTAAATTGTTCACATGTACATTATTATTCATAGAAATATTTTATTTATTTATTAATTTATACATTTCAATACTGTTATAATTTCAGGTAAATATGCAAGGTATCAGGAGGATATTAGTTTTCTGTATATTAACAACAATATTACCAATCATACTTCTTATAACACCATTGTATCTACGTCATAATTTCTATGCTAATGTTGCATACACTGTGACCGAATCTGATATCCTGGAAATCACTGATGGAGTCTCCACAATATTTTGTTCTGTAAGAACTTTTTATTACATTTATAAGCTTTTGTGCTATTAACGCTATAAAAAACATTATATGTGCACTAGCTTGTTTATTTTTATGCAATGAATAATATTATTGTCATTTATACAGGAACACACTATAGAGATGAATAGAACCTTTAATGCATTTCAAGTGTCACAGAATCCAGAAATTACTTCATATAAAAAACACATACGTCTTAAAAAGAGTATGTCAATACCAGATGACACTCTAGAATATTGGGGATTTTATCTCTTAAAAGGAGCAAGTGTAGCACTGTCTGTATGCTCAAGGTACAAACTTAAATTTCAATAGGTATTAACATTTATTACTATCTCGGAAAAAACTTGGTTTCATTTAAGTTATAGATAACTTAAACACTTGGATAATATTCTTGTTACTTCTGAAGTACTCATATTCTAAAGCACGATTAATCTTCATACAGATTCGAAGGAGCTTCAATACTACTTGTTAAAGATGAACGTAATCTACGAACATGTGGTATGTTGGAGCATAATTATGGAGATCAAATTGTGAAGAATATATTTTTACCAGATGCACAACAACAAGTCAAAGTGGTGTTTACATCAAATACTGAAGAAGATACTTTTCAGACAGATTTAACTAAAGTTAATGGTTTGCTAACAAGTGCAAAAAATAAATTTTCACGGAATGTCACTTTGAAAACCACCAATGAAGATTCTAACAAATTTCACGAGTATGTAAAAAATAATACATTTCCTGACAAAAACATTCGTAAAGAAAAATTGATTCAAGGTGAGAATACTGTATATAGTACAAGAAAACTGAGACATGCAAAAAAGAGACAATATTCCAAACTAATGAGAGGAGAAAAGAAAAATATACTACAAGACAGCAATATAAAACACAATTTAGAATACAGTTCAAATAATACTAAAAAGAAAATAGAAATAGAAACTACAATGTTAACTAAAAAGGTCAAGAGGAGTCAAGACCTTGTTAAACCAACATTTTTACTTGATGAAGGCATTAAACACGGTGGAAATGCTGTTATGAATGCAACAAATGCTGATGATATTTCTTCGGTATCTAGCTTTGAAAATGGATTATTCAAATGTTATGGTGGTTCAATTTTAATAGCCCAAGAATTCGCACCATCCAAACATTGTACTAATGTCACTTATTTGCTTAGTGGAAAACATATGCAAGCAACCCAGAACATTGTAGAAAGTGGTTACTATTATTACATTTTTTACAGTGATAATGATATTGTTTCAAATGATATACACGCGGTTTTTGATATTTATAAACCTCTTCTTCAGTATGAAAATGTAACAAATTCTTGTATAAATCAAACCAAATGCTCCTTTCCAGTTAATCTACTCTCACTGGACAAAGTGATAGTCGAAATACCAACAAAAGATGGTGTTGAATATGAAATATATAATAATAGCTTACTTCTTTCTGTCTGTCATCCACGAATGGAAGTTTACATTATTTTTCCTATTGCAGTATTATTCTTAATTCTAACGCGTGCATTTATGTAATACTCACGTTTTCTTTTTTATAAATACAACATACATTGATCACATACTGTGTATGTGTTACTGAATAGTAAAC